GCGGAGAAAGCGGTCTCACTGTAACATAATGATGGCGCGCGGCAAAAAGGCGATTGGGAAGGGGAAGAGCCTTCGCTGCGCGCCTACACACTCATCGCTCCTCCCCTCCCCAAATACCACTTCGCCACGAGTCGCCATTATGTTACAGTGAGACCGCTTTCACCACTACGCATTTCTAGCCACGCGCATTGGCCGATCTTCTTTAATTAATTTTTCGTTAATTATTGTAATATCGCAAAATAGTATAGGACCTTCCTTCTTAATTTGAGGACCTTCCTTCTTAATCTACCTTCACACTTCGGAACTGCGTAAAATTTCCTGATACCCTGTATAAATTTAAATTGTTTATCTTTTTTCATAGTATGTTGAATGCAATGTCACGTACCAAAACAAAGTTTGACATTACAAAACAAAGGTGAACATACTGTATTCACTCATGTACAAGGTGTTGCACTTGAATACACGGCAGTATGACGGATTGCCTATCCCGTCGGAGTCCGATCGGTCGAGAAATACGCGTGCCGATATTATCGATGAATGCGTGCGCGGATTAAACAGAACAAGCGGGCGTGCTGTATACGGCGCGAAGCCTACGAGTCGTAAGTTGTTTATCTCATAATCTGTAAACTCTCAATGCGCCTTTGCTAAATCCTTTTTTAATGTAGTAACGGTGAGCTGAGGGAATAGCGGGAACTTAAAAGTGTTCACAGATTATGAGATAAACAACTTACGACTCGTAGGCTTCGCTCCGTATACAGCACGCCCGCTTGTTCTGTTTAATTCGCGCACGCATTCATTGATAATATCGGCATGCGTATTTCTCGACCGATCGGACTCCGACGAGATAGGCAATCCGTCATACTGCCGTGTATTCAAGTGCAACACCGTGTACATTTCACTTTGACTCCTAAAACGTACAAAATGTCTAAAAATTGCACATAATTCATAAAACTTTTTTTGTTAATAATTTTTTAATAAATGACGAGCGACATTTAAAATCTTTTGATATTTACTCAGGAGAATGAGCTTGACAACATATGTCAAGATCATTGAAATCGGTGAGGTCATCCGTAAAGTTCAAAATTACCAAAAATAATAAATATTTCAACACCTCAAGAACAAAACATTTTTGCCTTTGTGGCATTCATTTATTACACTTGACATACTACACTTGATTATTTAGTACTACATAACTGTAAAAATTGATCAAATTTAGAGATGAACTGCATACGAAAATCTTGCCCAAAGCATCAAATTATATTTTTATATTTTACGTGAAATAATATTATGTGTGGAATGTGCATGTATACAATAGTATCACGTGTGCAATGTACGCGCAATAATATCATGTATGCAATAATTTCATGTGTGCAATGTGTATGTGCATAATAATGTCATGTATGCAATCGTACTTTCGTATTTTTTTGTGTGTGTGCAATAATACATGTAGGCAATCGAGATGTAAACAATCGGGAATGTTGGTAAAAGCTGTCGCAGAAGTGTAGCCAGGTAGAAATGTTAAAGCACGCAAGAAAACTAACAGAAAAATTTCGCTGCTCAATAACAAAAAAAAAAGAGGATATTTATGAAAAAGTATAGTAAATGTGCTGAATAGGGAACCTAACCTTGATCTTGACCTTGACATATGTTGTCAAGGTCACTGTCCTGAATAACATTAAAAAGATTTTAGCCGTCGCTCATTTATTAAAAAGTTATTAACAAAAGAAATGTTATAGATACAATGTATATTTTTAATATTATATGACTCTTAGCAAAAGTTAAGTTTGAATTTAGAAAGAACTTGAACTTCATTTCGTACTTGCAAAGTACAAAAGAAACTAATCTAACTGAATTAGTTATGTAAAAAGTTTTATAAGTAAATTTTAATATATTATTCCGTACATTTCGATTTATAAATATTTTTTCGACACCGTATGTACATTTACGGACAATACATATGTTCGCTACAATACATATGTGATGTAAATATTCAATACATTCCGAAACTTATTTTTCTATTTTGCTTTTTTTGTCATATACAGAATGTTTCAGACGGGAGTGGCTCATTGGCGCACAGTACAATTGGACACGTTGCAATTACGCACCGTGCTATTAGACACATAAGATTGCACACCTTTCGTTTGGACACGTTACATTTGCCCACCGTTCAATCGGACACAGTTCTTTTGCGCACAGTTCGATTGGACACGTTACATTTGTCCACCGTTCAATCGGACACAGTTCTTTTGCGCACAATTCTTTTGCCCACAGTTTTTTTGCGCACAGTTCTTTTGCGCACATTACTTTTGCTCAATTTTATAAACCCATATGGAATCCCATTATTCTTGTAGCTTACCTCGAGAGCTTTTCAAAACACTATAATAAATTATTTTTCCATGAAGTACTTTTCGAGTTATGAGGCATGAAATAATTTCTTAATTTTACATAAACCATAAAATATTTAGTAAAATATTCATTTTTCGATTATCTTATCTTAATATTTTTGTGCACAGAAGAATGTGAGGAATCAATTAGTGTAAATAAAGAACATAGTTGTTTCTAAGAAAAATATGTAATTTGCAATTAACAATTACATATTTTTTTCAAAAACAGTCAGTACAGTCCGTTACTAATTAGTTGCTCACAGAATTTTAAATATTTCATAATATTTCGAAAATGCGCTTGCACGAATTTATTAATATGACGTACAATTTTGAATCTTTGTGGAATTTTTTATATGAAGAAAAAGTAGTTCACAAATAAAATCCCAAGTGTTCAAATTTATTACAAATAATTAATGCTTCAAAAAATTACGTATTGCATTGTACCAAGAAATATTATAAAATTATTAGAAGCCGAAAACGACGAGGAGAAATGTGTAATTTCAAAATTAGTGCATTTAATGTGCACATGGCTTGAACGATCACATATGGATCTAATTAAAATCTGTCGTTATCTGCCGAGTATTTTTTAATGATGGAACTACCACGACACAGATTCTTAACAGTCGAATTAGAGTTGAATAATCATGTAATTGTAGATTGGACAAATTTCTGTCGAGAAGTAAGTATAACATATTGTTTCTGTGTGTGCTTTGTTTATTTATAATTAAACTAATGTTGTATTTGTGTTTATTAAATCATGTCTAGTTACTTCAACAATGGATTGAACGCGGACAAAAACTAATTAGTGGAGAAAATAAAATCATTGAACTAGACGAAGCTAAAATAAGCAAAAGAAAATATAATGAACGTATAATTAGAGGACGATGGGTTTTTGGCGGAATTGAACGCGATACTAAAAATGCTTTTATTATCTGTGCCAAATCGATGTAGCGAAACTCTTTTCCCTTTTATTAATTTTATTAAAAAATATATTGCACCTGGTTCAATTGTTTATACAGACAATTGGTGCTCGTATAATATTTTAGATAATTGTGAAAATTATACACATAAAACAGTAAATCACTAATTTTGTAGATCCTGAAACTGGCGTTCACACGCAGAATATAGAAAGATTGTGGAGAAATATGCAATCGAAAATTCTTCATTACAGTGTCCGAGTGTCCAGTGATTACCACTTTATATACTATATTGCAGAATTCTTATTTAAAAGAACATACAATTTCGATCAACGTATTAATGCTTTTTCTGATATTATGAATACCGATGTATCTACTAGATAATCTGAACTTCTTTTGATTTACATTTTTTATCATTTTTTAATTAACAATTACTAACAGAACATTTCAGCAAATGTTGCGTTTAACGCAGCAATGATATAAGTTTGAGTTAGGTTATATCTTCCGAAAGTGAAGCCTTCCGCAAGAGGGCGGAATCCATTGCGTTCACTTTGCAAGACGAAACGAAGTTAATTCCTAACGAGAGTTAAGGTGAAATGTACATGCGTGAATGCAGTGAGTTTCGTCCTCCTGCAAGGAGACTCCATTTCCGGACGATATAACTTAATGCAAACCTATTTCTGATTTAAAACTAAAATTTGATTTGAGGCGAACCTTACTTTACATCAAAAATTGCAAACCCGTGTGTACTTCGTTTTATCTTGTAAAATACATGCGTGACTACAGTAGGTTCCATTCCCTCTAAATTAAAATTTGATTTACGAAATGGTTTTAGAATCAGAATAGATTTGGGATAGGTTATATCTTCCTGGAACCCTCCGTAAGAGGGCGGAACTCACTATAGCCACACATGTACTTTCCAAGATAAAACGAAATTCATATAGGTCTGCTACTTTTCACGCAAAACAAGGTTTACCCTACACCAAATTTTAGGGTTAAATAAAAAAATAGGTTTACGTTAGGTTATACCCGCTAAACATGTAACTTTCTGGTAACGTCACATTTCGACTGTAATTAAGCAAATTTGAAATGTTTACATGTAACGGTAATAAAAGGTTCCGTAAACGTCTGAAATTAACGTTTTATTAGTGTCAGTTCGTAGAACGTACCAGAAACGTTGCTTTTCCGCATTTAATTTGTCAATTCGGAACGTCACAAATGAAATATTTTGTAAAGTTCAAGTAACATTTCATATGAAACGTTTTCTTTGCGACTTTATAAACGTTGCTTCAATGCTAGCATTTACTATGTTTCTAAAACATTCATTTCGCTACGTACTTTAAACGTTTCATTCAAAACGTAAACTTTGAAAAACATTTCATTTCGCATTAACGTTATAAATGCGACATTATTAAAAGATTTAATTTTGCAGCCTCGTAAAGTCAACTCGCAATTTATCGTTGATAAATGGTCATAACTTTTTAACAAATTGCAATTTTGCAACAAATAAGTCTCAAAATATTACTCCTATTATTATAATTGTTTGATTGCGACCACTGGCGGCCTCCGCGTATCAGAAAGTAAAGGACATACTGATGAACGCGGCAAATGTCGCGCGCTACAAGCGGTTGCCACTCACCGTTTTGCTTTCTTGTTTCGCGCGTTATGATTGGTCGCTTGAGTTGCGACAAGGCGCGTGTATCGAGCAGTCGGGGGGACTTACTGCGTAGTGTGCAAACGTGTTGTGTTACAATCTTCTCGTATAATTAATTGTGTGCCGGTTGGTTTGTGCATTAATAAAGTTTTCAAGTATATAATAGCGTTTTCGACGTGATCGAATTCAAAACCTGGCTAACCTGGGTTGGATTCGGTCGTCAAAAACGCAATAATTCTGACATTATATTGCCCTCCCGCAAGGACGCTTCCTGCATAATTAACGCCCGGATAAGCGTATATTTCTTACAAAAAAGATCTATGACATCGCACACTCAGACTCCTGTTGCTGAGGGGAATCAGCATCAGCTACATAAGGTAAGTAACAAACTTATTTATAACCTATACTAACCTAAAAAATAATTAATATTTAACGTTTTAGAAAACTTATTGTTCCAAGTGCACACTCGCGCGAGCGAATTAGTAGAAAAAAATATGAGAAAAATAAATAAATGTTTTGTGTCCAAAAGACATATGCGTCGAATAGTCAGAAAAGAATTAGAATTACTGAAAAGAATTACTTCATTGAAGAATGATGAAGATGGAAAAAAACAACTGGTAATAGTATATACACTACCCGTCAATGATTCGCCCCCCTAGGAAATAGAGACGGCGCTATAGATTTTTTATAGTTTATCTATAGCGTCGTCTTTATTTCCTAGCAGGAATGGGAACGAATCATTGACGGATAGTGTACATTCCCCACTTACTTATTTATACAATTAAAATATAATTGCATCCTATATTCAATTAGACATGTAAATTAAAAAAGATTGAAAAAATGTAAATAGCTTGTATGATGTCGATACTCAGAGAATTGTGCGGCCGAAAATACTTTTAACATAATTGAATATTTTAACTTAATTTTACTGTACATATATACTGATATATGTACAGTAAAATTATTTACAATTTTCTATTACATATTAATCTCTCGAAAGTATGTATATTGAAATATGTAATGTTTCGACATTATTCATATATGAAAAATGTAATATGTCGTTATAATTGTAATAATTATATGCTTCAGGAAACATTTTTCTATTTGCTTGGAGGAGACTCACCTCAGGATCAAATAAAACATAGCTTGGAAAAAATGTTTTCCAATAAATTGGCTATGAAATGTTCATGGAAAGGCCAGAAAGGAAACTTTGCCATAAATTCACTTCTGCTAATAGATATCATAAAAAGTAAGACTTTCTGCATTGACCTAACTTGAAACAAAATTATATAAATCAATTTATTAAACTTTAATTTTTTCTTGCGTTTTATAGAGGCTGCTCGAAAGCATTATCCGATGTTAACGGATAGACAATTTTTAAATCATGTTTCCGCCTGGTTTAAATATGCCAAAACACGTCATGATAGAGAGCAGGTACTTTTTTCATTCTACTTAAATGAATTACTATTTTTATACAGCTGAATTGATTTTGTGTCTTTTTTCTTGTCTTAGGCAAAAGCACTTAGAAATCAGATCGGATAATTCAGTTTTAAAGAAATGTACATGAACTCATATATGGCGTTCAGCCGATCCTGCAAATGCACTAATAGTGCAATATTAAAATAATAATATTTATGTTATAAATATTAGAAATATTTTAAAAATACATGTTATAAATATATAATATATCTTATATAATTGATGTTTTGTATTTTTTTAATTTTATCACAAAATATTGTTGTATGTATATGAAAATAAATGTAATTAATATGCGAATAATTTTTGTTTTTCACTGATCGTATTATTACGCATGTAACGAATGTATAAAGCCTAGTCTACAATGAGTCATTAATCGTTAATTTGCAAATGCCATCTCTTATGCACTCGAGTGTCCTAAGTCGTAAGTCATAAGAGATGGCATTTGCAAATTAACGATTAATGACTCATTGTAGATTGTGCCTTATACATTCGTTACAAAAACGTTGCAAATTAACCATAAAGCGGAAAATAAATTCCTGGAACGTTGTATAAACATTGTTTTTGGAATGAAAGTTTGTAACGTTTCCCTAACGTTTCATGCAAGTTTTACAAACGGCGCAAAAAACGTTGTAAATGCGACGTCGCACATATAAGGTTTTTCAAACGCCTAAAACACGTTGCAAGTTCGACGTCGCATATGTAAGGTAATTGAATCGGGACATTTCTGGTTCCTGAAATGTTACCAAAAGGTTAATACAACCAAACGTAAAACGTCGCACGGCTATATTGCAATGTTACAAAAACGTTTTTGCAACAGAATATTGTTTAGCGGGTAGCTTCCGAAAGAGTAGAGCCTCCCATAGGGGGAGGGGGGAGGGGGGAACTCACTGTATTCACGCATGTGTATATTTCATCCTAACTCTTAAAATGTACATAATATCTAAAAATTGCACAGAATTCGTAAAACTTTTTTGTTAATAACTTTTTAATAAATGATGACAGCTGAAACTTTTTGAATGTCACTCAGAATAGTGACATTGATAATATATGTCATTGGGGCTGGGTGTCCTTTAGCACATTTACCCTAAATTGCTTGATTTTTCAAAAAGAGGCAAAGAGCTACAAGAGCAGAATTTGTCTGCTCTTGCCCTCTCCCCTTTCTACCCCAGCTACGCCTTTGAGCTGTCGGCTAAATGTGCAAGCGAAGCAATTGGCAATCGGGAATTTAGGCAAACGAACCCTCTCCAAAAAACATTAAAAACATATTTTAAAAATAGGATAACAACAAATTTTCTTTTATTACTACATTTACAAAAATCGCTAGAAATAATTACTTAAAAATTTTCTTAATAATGTTGTGCCGGACGCGGCACGGGGTGTGGGATAGCCGGGTGTCTCAACCAAACCTTTGGGCCGTTTCGTCTACAACTTTTTCTTATGTTATTTATAAAATCCTTTTATACAAATAGATTCTCTTATCCTATTTTAGTCCGGTTTCTTTCAAGTTAGTCGCCTTCTCTTCTTAACGTCGTCCTTTCCTGAATCGCTTCGTTCTTAGATTTAGAGCGTTTAACAATTTCTTCGGGTGATTCGTCGCACAGTATAGCGGTTAGCCTCAGTTTCACACTACTTATCGATCAATTTTCAATTAACGACTGTCCGCCACGGATTCGCGGTGGACGGCTTTTATTCCCTCGATTTTGGGAGTGTTTTGGAGGAGATCGCCTAGCGACATGATTATGTATGGTCATGGAAGTTTTTCGTGGCGTCCAAAGTCCAAGTGCAAGCGAAGGAGGTTCAAAGTCGAGTCCCTTCATTAGCGTTTTCGCGTTTCCGGCGAACGTTCTTGCGCGTGGTTCGCTGAGGTAGCGGTTTTGCGCGGTTCACGAACGTTCTATTAATATTATCAGTGAAATAAAATAATAAGTTATAGTCTCTCGGACTATAACAATAAATTTAAAAATTATGTAATAAATACATATAAAATATAAACAAAATATATGTATACATGTCTAAAATAAAATGTTAGAAAATAAATTTTATGAAAGAAATATTCATAAAATAATTAATGTTTATTGCAAAAAATTTTTTTTCTTTGCATAAAAGCCTTTATCTTTCTCTCTTCAACAATGCATAATTTTCATGTAACATCAAAAATATGAAAATATATATATTTTAAAATATAACAAAAATGTGTTTTAAAACATTTATAATAGATCTTTTCTCTTTTTAACTTCCCAAGAAGATTAAGGGAAAAACACATAAAAGAAGATTCATCCTTAATAATCTTGATCTTACATTGTCACAGTTATCACCCTGTGTAATCTTCAAAAGATTTTAGATATCGTTCATTAATTATGCAAAAGTTATTAACAAATACGTTTTATGCAAAGAATCTAACGTAAACTGACAATGAAAAATACAATATTAAACACATTTTATGTAAGTATCATTATCTATTTATTGATAAAGAAAAAATATCTCAAGCTTGGATCCGAAATCTAAATGTCTAAAAATGGTTTCTGGGCTTCTTTCGAATATAGCAAAAACAATAGTGACTTTCATTTTTGCTAAAGCTTATTCCTTAATATCGAAAGTCACGTAGAAAATATAAATGCAGGAAAGTAAAAAAATATAAAAGTTTAATATGTTATTGCATTACACAATAATTAATATGTTATTGCATTACACAATAATTAATAATAATCTTGATAATAATTCTTGGAAAATAGTTAAGCGTGAAGAAAAGCAAAAACAACAAAACTGTAAAATTCGATATTTATTACCAAATAATCAAAAAATATTTAAGCGTATGTTTTTAATATTAGATACAATTCTATTTTATAAATCAGAAACATAGCATCTAAGCAATCTTTTAAACATTTCATTTTCTACATAGGAATGCTAAGATTCTCAGGAGATATCTTAATGTGTTTGAATGCAATATTGTCTCTGAATTACAATTCTTTAAAGAGATCTAAAAGGAGGGCGTAGACTTCAGAACATCCCGAATTGAAAAAGATTTATATACACGCGAATACCTCTACCGGCATTTATTTGATCAGCGAATGACTTTTCAGGGATCCTCCGTGGCAATTGGCTTTGCATCCATTAAGTGAGATCCCAACATCGCTCTGGAGTTACATATCACTGTGTTAAAAAGCAACATTAGATGTGAGGTCTGGATAGCTCAGTGGTCTAGAGCAGTTGCCCGGAAAGCGAAAGACTCAGGTTCGATTCCCGATCCAGCCACTTGCGCCTCACATATTTTTCTAGTCTGAATATTGTTTTCTAGCAATTATTTATTAGGCTGGAAAATATGTGAATGCTCTCTCCACAGGATATGCGTCAATGCCGTTGCTATGGATGGATTCTGTCGCTCGTTGACCAAATGGGCGTAAAGACATATCCGACCTCCTCACATACATCCCTACCTTTCTCTAGAAAAAAAATATATAGCCCTAATACCTACTACAATTTATAATACTTTGTATACAAAGTATTACAATATATGGGTAAACCTTCGGAAAATACACCTATATGAAATAATGAATAAGAATACCCAATTCCTACGTATTTTTACCTCCTGAACACGAATATGAAACTTAAAAATGACTCGGACTCGCAAGTCCAAAAAAATCAATAAACCTTTGGAAAACATACTTATATGAAATAGTGGGTAAGAATATCCAATTCTTACATATTTTTACTCCCGAATGCTGCCAACCTACGGTTAGCAAAAGAGTAGGGAGGGAGTATGCGTTTCACCGAGCTCGGTATTTTTCTCGATAACAATAACATAGTTTGGTGTTATCTTTTGCACATTAATTTTTTATTAACCAAAGATGATTTAAAACATATAATTATCACTCTTTATTTTATTAATAAAAATCGGAAAAACTATTATTTCGTCTATACGTTATCTCATTGGCTGGGAGCGGACCTAAGAAGCAAAAATGAATTCACTAATAAGATTCATTCTAAGCATCCGTATAGGGAAATATAGTTGGAGACATCTCGAAGTGGCGGCAATAATAATTGACATAACATGTCAAATTATTATTGTTATAAGTGAAAATAAATGTTGTGAAAAATTGTAAAATTGAAAAAACGGATAATATGGATAATATGGATGTATCTAAAGAAAATGTTCCTAAACAAGTAAACTTATTTCTCTTTCTGTTATTAATAATATTTTTGTTTGAAGCAAAGTCACAATAATAATAAATAATATAATATAATATAATGAGAGAAAATAGTTTTCTGCATATAATTATGATTATATGATATTTCTACAATAATTCTTGGCTACGCAACAAATATACAGGGTGTATCAGAGCGACCGTATCAGGCTAGTATTTCGAAAAATACGCATTTACTTGAAAAATGTTCCGAACAAAAGTTGTAGGACTTTAAGGGGCGCATTACATAGCATGGTTAGTGTGACCTTGGATAGTGTTGTTAAGGACACGGAAAAATCAATTAAAAGTTTTTAAATGGAAACCCCTATTTTTGATTATATATTCTTATAGCTGATCTCGAGAGCTTTCCAAAACACTATAATAAAGTACCTTTTCATTAAGTACTTTTTGAGTTATAAGGCTTGAAATAATTTCTTAATTTTACATAAACCGTAAAATATCTTGTGAAATATTCATTTTTCGATTATCTTACCTTAATACTTTTATGTACAAAATAATGAGAGGAATCAATTGGTGTAAAAAACACATAGTTGTTTTAAAAAAAAATATGTAATTGTTAATTGCAAATTACATATTTTTTTCTTAAAAACAACTATGTTTTTTCTTTACATCAATTGATTTCTCTCATTATTTTGTACATAAAAATATCAAGGTAAGATAATCGAAAAATGAATGGTTTATTAGATATTTTATGGTTTATGTAAAATTAAGAAATTATTTCAAGCCTTATAACTCAAAAAGTACTTAATAAAAAGGTACTTTATTATAGTGTAGGTACTTTATTATAGTGTTTTGAAAAGCTCTCGAGGTCAGCTATAAGAATATATAATCAAAAATAGGGGTTTCCATTTAAAAACTTAATTGATTTTTCCGTGTCCTTAACAACACTATCCAAGGTCACACTAACCATGCTATGTAATGCGCCCCTTAAAGTCCTACAACTTTTGTTCG